GAACTGCCAGAACTAATTTTCTACAGCCCCCATGCTGGACTCCAGAAGTTGAACAGGCGTGGAAGGCAAAGAGAGCAGCAGTGAAACAGCTAAACAAAATACGACAGACACCCTCAAGCTCACGAGAGTAAGTGGAGATGGCAAAGAATGTGAAAAAAGATAAGGTGGAGGTTTTCACGCGCTGTGCTGCAAAGGCCAAAAGAGCAAAGTGGGAAAGTATTGTGAATGATATGGGAGGCGATAAAACATTGAAGAAATTCTGGAAACTGCAAAGGCAGATGCGAAGAAAAGATTGGCCTATGACAGTCGGAACAGTTTGTAGAGACGATGGTGTGCGTGTGACAACAGACAAGGAGAAAGGGGAAGTTTTTCTCCATAGGTGTATAGCTCAAACAGATCATAATGATGTAAACATCAGGGATGCAGCTAGAAAGGAGTTAGCTGGCACCTTTAAGAATATGCATTATGAAGACATGATACAAGTTGAATATTTCTAGCACATTTTGAAAAAAGCAAAAGACACTGCACCAGGGCCTGATGGAGTCAGGTATGGTCACATAAAGGCTTTGAGCGATGTAGACCTGTCAGAGATGGCGGACTGTTTTAACCAGAGCATTAGGACAGCATCAGTAGCGCAGGACTGGGTGCACAGCTATCTAATCCCACTACCAAAACCTTTTAAAGATCATTCTAAGCTCAGTGGCTTTAGAATCATAACCTTACAAAACACATTTGGGAAGGTCTTAGAGAAGATAGTTGTTGTAGAGCTGCAAGAATTTTTGGAAAGGGGGAAGCTTCTCCCAATATGTCTGGGAAGCTATAGGGCAAATGCGGCCACTTTTGTTTTTGACGTCTATGAAGGGTTCCAGAGCAGAAAGGAAACTATGGCGGTAGGACTGGATCTTGAAGATGCTTATAACAGAGTGAGATACGATATTTTAATGACTGCACTGAGTCGGTCAGTCCATGACTGGTGAAATGGGTTGCAGCTGTCCTGTATTCACGTCGGGTTGCTCTCCGACTGGTCTCATAGACCTTAAGACCAAGCACTTTGGCCCCAGGACTGCCACAGGGATCCGCCATCTCGCCTGTGCTCTTTAACGTGTATACGAGCAAGATTGCAATCCTGGAGGCACCATGAGTTGGAAGGATACTGACTTTTGCGGATGATATACTTGCATATAGGCAGGGGAAAGAGATCGAAAAACAGCCCCGGAAGCTACAAGCGACAGTAGACAAAGTGACTGAGTGGTGTACAGAAATGTCGTCAACCAGAAAAAGTCTGTTTTGTGGTGTTTTCTGGACAACAGGATCGTTAAAGCTAGTGTCCCAAGTCTCACGATAGATGGTAAAAACCTCAACAGAGAGAGCAAACTGAGGTATCTGGGAATTACATTTGACAGGAGCCTGTCATTTAAGGACCATGTGGAGAGTGTTGTGACGAGATGCCAAAAAGGACTCAGTGCACTTAAGACTTTGGCTGCAACTGACATAGAGCAGAGAATGCTTGTCACACTATATTAGCACCTGATACTGTCAGTGGCCTGGGTATGCTTACTATCTCAAAGAGGCAGATGGACAAACTAGAGCGCACACAGAACGCAGCTATGCGGGTCATTCTGGGTTGCACCAGTAGTGTGTATGCGATACATCAGTGGTTTGCCAACGCTTTCAGGTAGGCACAATGTGCTGCAGGCGAAGTCATAACTCAGGGTAGCCGTAGACACAGACCACCCTTTGCACGAAGCTCTGGATGTAGTTAAGGGTCAGCGGCTGATAAGAGGGAGATCATGGATGGCTCAGGCAGAAGACACAATCACAGGTTTGCATCCTTGAGAAAATTAGGCTAGGGGAAGAGTGGGTCAAAGTACCACCTGAACAGTCAGACTTGTGTAGAGTCATAATCCAGCTGAGCCGGGAATGCAGAGACTGGCCAGCAGGTGCCACAGAGGTGGAAATTCAGCAATTAATTCAAGATAATGCTAGCTCAGAGGATTTGATCATTTACACAGACGGTTCAGTGTCAACAGGGCAAAAGAAATGCTTCGGGCTTCTTAGCAAACGTTAATGGTCGATGTGTGGTGCAGGAAAGCCTAGCATATATTACCATAACATCCAGCTTAGGAATGGAGGTGAAGGCGGTCACTGCAGCTTTCAGCTGGCTAGAGAACACGTCACACACACACACACACACACACACACACACACACACACACACACATCGTGATTGTAACTGATTAAAAAAGCATGCTGAGGAAGATCAGAACAGGTATGCTTCGTGCAGAATGCATGCTTCGCTGCGGAGGACATGGGTGAGGAGTATTGTCTGGATTTTTTCACCAGGGCACGCCGGTGTGTTAGGAAATGAACACGCGGACAGACTGGCTGGCTCTGCACAACTTGGTGAAATACTGATACATGATAAGGCAGACGTGGTTACTGCCTTGTGGGAGAGCGTGTAAAGTTCGGAGGAGCAGATGGATCACCACAGTCTGGTGAGATTAATGCAGCGGGGAGTGACGAGAGGTTCTGGCAGAGGCTTAAGGCTCAGAGGAAATGAAAGACGAACGTTTGATCAGAATGCTACTGGCACCATTAGTATCAGAGCTCTCCGCTAGCTGCTGAAGATGGGGACGGAGCGCTTATGGGAATGTTCCAAGTGCTGTGAGGTCGGTTCTTGAATCAAATCAAATCATTTAAGAACATGCGGTCGAAGAATGTCCTTGACGTATTTTCAAGCTTCCTTAAGTGTGCACCAACTGACTCCTTCTGTTGTAACTGATCATTCCCCACCTGCACAACAGTGCAGCAGAGCTTCATCAAAATAATTGTGGGCTAGACCTTTTTTTCGTCTACGGTATATTCTTTCCAGGTCATGCCGGTGTGTTGGGAAACAAGCAGGCAGACATACTGGCCGGTTATGCACAACTTGGTAGTGAATTGAGGAATGACCAGCTAGACCTTGTGATGGCTCTGGCCGACGCTCAACACTCAAAGGAATGACGAGACGAATATACAATCAGACAGTTACTAGTGCCATCAAAATTGGAACTCTTCGATTTCTGTTGAAGATGGGGACTGATCGCTTATGGGGGTGTCTCGAGTGCTATGATGTCGATTCCTAATTCAACATTCAACATTCGCCCACTGTAGTCCCTATGCGGTCTATCGTGACGATGCAACAAAATGAAAGATTCGTCACTGAAACAGACATGTCTCCGTTGATTGTCACATACCCAGGGAAGATGTTAGTTGCCCAAAACAAGTCAATTTTGACAGTGGCCACGCCTAGGTTAGGTCATCGTTATGGTCGTCGTGCCCAAAGACCAACGCTATGCAGTCTGTTTCTAACAGTTTGATCAGATATACATGATGTTCTGGCGGCAATGTCTGCGTAGTTGAGGAATCTGTTGAAAGCCTGTCTCTGAGGTGACGAAACCGAATACAGTGATTATCTGCTGTTGTTGTCATTCTTGGTCCATTCATTCACTGCGATGTGGGTTTTCAACTAAACCAGGGGCTTATAAATGGTGCCAAGGTCGACTGGTGGTATTCTGATGCACGTTTAGATGCCCGGCAATCTGAATTTGTTCTGCCTGCAATCGACCAAAAGCAATAGTCCTTATGTTTATCGATAGAAGCGCCATTCGTGACTGCTTGAAAATGAACTGAATGTTTTAGTGCAGTGTTATCCTTTTATGGGGTTTTAGCTGCGTAAGCAGTGAATACTGCTCACCCCAAACTGTGTTGCTCTCTCATGCGCGCATCATGAGCTATGCTAATAAATATGGTCCTAAACACAATTGACCACTGCGTTGTAACGATTACAAAATCCTACTCAATTGACGAACACATGATAACTGGACACGGTCAACAATTTTGGTATCTGCTTTTCACATACCCGAGTACGACATTTTATTTACAGACTATGCGTTTTTCACTCAACTGTATATTTAGATTATTCAGGCAACCTCTAATACGTTCTATGCTTCAGGCTTGGTCACGTACTTTATCAACTGGTTCTAGTATTTGTAACTGCCACCTGGCTTCTAATGTTGTTTGGCACTCGTATCTGGTTTAGGAATCCGGAGAAAGTTGTTTTACTCACTAACTGCTTCTAACAGGTTATACAACTTCAAAGATGTGAATAAACTGCTTCCTTCTTTGTCTTTTTTTTTTCTCTAATCCTGGAATGTCTCGCGGCGTCAGAGCATGAAGAGATCTCTGGAAGGGGTCCTCCTGTTCTATTCATGATTCCTACTCCTGGGAACAGCGTCTTGAGAGCATCATATAGTTATATACCTAATGCGATATTTAGGATGACAGCCCGTCTTCTAAGGTCTTTTAAACTCAAATGGTACAAACAACATTCTTATGAATACCCAAGTTTGGTGAAAGAGGTTGATCTATAAATACGAAAGAAATTAGCCGTTGTTTCTGGAAGAAAAGGTCAAGGCCTCGGAATTGTTGTTGCAGTCCACTCAACTTTTAGGCAATTGATGACGCCTCCTTGTAATGTCCGTATTGATCCTTAGCTCCTAAAGAACCCTAACAGCATCTAGCTCGTCCTGGGTCAGTTCATCCCCAAGTGGTGCTGAGCCAGTCAGTCTATAGGTCTGGTTTTTTTTTTTCCACAACAGACTGGCATGAAGTGGAGGAAATATCTCAAGGGCGCTAAACAAAATCTGAAGTAATGCTTGCCACTCTTCATACCGTCTCCAGCTTTCTCAATATGCTCTGTGAGTCATTTACAAACTATCTAACCCATGATTCTTGGTCAAGACACTTCATCGATCTCTCATTTGCATACCTAAGTTTATGACTGCACAGCGATTATTGTGTAGTATCGGAATATGAGTAATAAAAATAGATGTTCAGCCGAGTTTATCATTAAACTTAAGCAATGATGCAATGGCAAAAAAAAAAAAAAAAAAACGATAAACCTACAACATGAACATTTAAAATACAGTAACACAGAAGGACACTATAGATTAACTCACCAACAATTTCTGGTAGAGTATAGTTTCTGTCTGAATATACGAATGGCATATCATTTTCTAGCCATTCCATTCGGAGTAACCCCTTGCTGTCAATATTTTCTAGAATCAGTTCTACATTGAATACTATTTCATTGTTTCTGTTGACACATTTCATGCAGTCATTTATATTGCATCCACTTGTAAAATAGATTCCCGTACATGTCTGAAAAATAATTAAATGTATGTCAAGAAATAGAAAATAACGTAAACTTTAAATTTGCCTATATAGTCCTTGTTAGAGCAAGCATTATACTATATGAAAACTTTTACTAGAGATCACTAATACGCTGTTGAATCGAAGGAAGTTCAACTGACGGCCATAGTTAAACTCATGATTTGTCAGTAAGTAAAGACGCAAAACACTATATGGGACCCCTCCGCCCCCCCCCCCCCCCACGCATACATGACGCCATCTGCTACCCTCAGAAACAGACACATTTCCCAGTTAATTATTTTCTGCCGATCTCGGAAATATACCTTGTCCTAGGAAATGATTCTGATCAGTCAGTCTGAAGACTATACTTGAGAATACTTTACTTTATCAATTGAAATAAACTTACTCTTCTTAGTAACTCTACTTAGACGCCCCCCCCCCCCCCCTCCTATGCTTTGTGTGATGTAGCCCATCCTTGAACTTTCTCTGTTTATCTTCTCCTCGAGCCTTTCATTTAATTTACATAAATAATTGCTTCCTTTTAGAACGCAAACGAAAGATACTTTTCCCAGTTGTCTCTTAGTTGTCTACTTTCTTCAGTGTTCGTGTCTATATATATATATATCTTGCCGACGCTCAACACTCAAGGGTAGGGTGAGACGGATTCACAATAGAGACAGTTACTGGGTCCATCGGAATTGGAACTCTTCGTTTGTTGCCGAGGATGGGACGGAGCACTTATGCGGGTGTCCCGAGAGGTAGGATGTCGATTCTTAATTCAACATTCAACATTCACATGTAACAATTGTTAGCTCAATACAATTTAGAACTCCTTGGCCACAGAGCGACTTACGGCCCAAATGGCAGAGATATGTCAGAATGTTACACTTAGGGTTGTTTTTGCCTCATAAAGCGCTTTGCTAATGCGATATCCAAATGTGAAAGTAGTCTACGGTTTCGTTGCCTGAGCTTCTGAGTTTAGTGCTTGGTGCAGCTCTGCGAGCTGTGTTCTTCCTGTGGAATATGTTTCTTTTGTGCAGCGGTTGTGTCGTGGTGTTCAATATGGATTGTATCGATTTGCGTGTGAGCTGTTGGAATACTTTATGTAGTAATTCTACGTGTGTATGGTAAACCTATCGTGTTCCATCAACGACGGATTGCTTTTCTGGTGGCAACAGTTAGCTTCTAGCGCCTCTGGCAACTGAAGTCTACACTTGTTGTTTGTACATATTTCTGGATTGTTCCGGGAATACTTTGTGTGTTCACCAGTTTTGCAAATGCGACATAGCGAGGGACATTTCCTTTGATTTTGCACTGGCATAGAAACGGATAAAGTCTGAGGAAACCGATTACAGTGATGCTGAAACCTCGACTAAGATTAACGCTAAAGCAGTATGTGTTGAGAATCAGAGGAATTGTTCTTCTTTGCGTTAATTTTCCTATGTTCAGCTCAGACTGTCAGGTGGGCTGTCTACGAATTCGAATGTGAAGTGTGCGCTCAAGTTTCATCATATCATTCTTTGATGTGAAAGGTAGGCATTCTAAGTCCACAATCGGTTATTAAACGACTGTGAACAGCATTTTTTTTTCATATCGATTGCGGACATAATCTTGAGTGAGCCGGTCAGTTTTGAAATTTGTCCGCAGCTGCTAACCTATTGTACAGGCTTTTAATGTTTAGTGCTTTTAGGTACCTCAGTTTGCTTCCTCCTGTGATGATTCTAAAATCAATTATTGTGAGGCTTGAAACGTCAGCTCTTACAATTCTATTATTCAGAGAGCACAATAAATCAACCTCCTTTTTTGATTTGATGACAGCACCTATTTCTGCACATCAGTCAGTCACTTCTGTCTACATTTACCTGTAGTTCTTGAATGTCTGTTGCCTGTCGCTCCCCAGCCTATATGCAAGAACATTATCGACCAATGTCAATATCCTTTTAACCTTTGATGCTTCAAGTTCTGCAATCTTGCTTTTTTACACAGTAAAGAGCACTGAGGAAATCATGGAAGCCTGGGGTAGTTCCGAGCTGATATTCCATGCTTTTGAGGTCCATGCACACATTCGGAGGGCAACCATACGTGAATACAGAACAGGTGATATCAAGAGGAGACTACCACATTATACATCCCTAGAAATTCAAAGCATCTGAAAATTATGTAAGGTGACAATCTTGAGATCATGCATTTTTCCTGTGTGGCAACTTACGGTTGTGAATCCTCGACTCTCACTCAGTCACTGAAGAAAGAGTCTGGAGCCTTTGAATTAAAATGTTACAGACAAATTATTAGAATGCCATGGGCCAAGAAGAGAAAAAAAAAACATCGACATTCTTCACGAGTTGAACATTAAAGAGAACTGGCTCATAAACAGCATCCTGTCCCAAAAGGTAAGTATTCTGGCCACATCAAACGTCATGGTGGCTTGGAAAAGGCGGTGATGGAGGATGCAGTTTGTGGAAAGCAAGGCAGGAGTGGATCACCGCGAAGATGGATACAGAACATTAAAGATGCATCGGCATTGAAAGCACATGGGGCTGAAGAGCTGGCTAGGGAAAGGGATACTTTCAGGCGTTCCGAGAAGAGAGCGACGTTCTGTAAATAACTTGCTGATTGATGATGATGTACATCCCTTGGACTTGTCTACTCTCTGCATTTTACACCTTTACTTTTAACCTGTGAAGCGTCTGTCGCATGTTGTGTAATTTTTTTTTTTAGCTGCTACTCTGTTTGCTTTCTATGTTTGATCTTCTTCTTAAGTCTCCGTGGAGGCCGCATAAAAGCAGAGCTGGTGGTTTGGCTGTAAAACTTCTTTAAAAGGCCTCCAAGAAAAGAATCGGCCCTCTCATATTTAAAGATCTTACGCGTTCTCAAAGCCCTGATCCTGTTAAAAATCATGACATATGATCATTCTCAGGATTGTCTAGCACACGTTATTTTGTGCCCACCACTGCTGACTTGGTAACAAACTATAAATCAATAGCAGTGTCTGCTTCACCAGCTCTCGTTGCCATTCCAGTTGGTCCCCAGTCGTTTATACCAACTGAGTCTGCATTCGCCATAGTCTCTAATAGAGCGTATGTGTGTCTATTTCCTAAATACTGGTCCATGATCTCCTCCGCGCATTGAAATCGCCGAGACGAGAAGACTATTGCCAGGGATTTCCACGAACTCTTCAAGTCAATCTCTATGTTTGTTTATTTCAAGAGAGTCAACAGAAAAGTAAACAGCTACTGAATTCTAAGTGGTGATCCCAGCATCTGTTAGAATACCCCGAGTCTCTGTTGTAAAAGGATTCCACTGGCCAAGGTCAAGCACCATTTGTTTCACACCCTTCTTTGCCAGTCGATATTTCTGATGATTTTTAAGTCAGGTAAGATTTATATAACTGATGTATCCGGGGCACTCATATTTGTTATATGTAATTCCTGAGACATGATGATTTCAAATTCATAAGTCAGCTTTTCCATTACAGGTCCTATCTCACTGGCACTTTGACGGTTTGAGTAACCCACTCTAATATGTTTTTATCGCAGACGCACCTTTTTTCACCTGGCTCTCTTTTTTTAAGCATTCTTCCCTCCATGTCTTCTCCTCTTCCACTCTCTTCGGTGTCATCTAAAGATTGTATCAACTACAGAGCAGGCACTTCGTAGATCCGCGATTATTTCTTTCATCAAATAGTTACAAAATAAATCGGGGGGAAAAACCCCGTTCAGTTTCGGAAGTAAACGGTCACCCCTGCATTGCCTGCTTGCTATGGAGAGGCAGGGGATGGTCTGAAGGAGTCCATACGCTTGGTGCGCCCCTTGCCAAGGATCAGACGTTCTATGCTAGTGACTGCAGATCCGCAGGCATTCATCTAATAGGCAGGCAGGGAAGTTGAACCTTAGATTTTGATTTTTTAACACTGACATTTTCTTCGGATCCGTTGTGTTTCAGTCACTAACAACGGTCTTGACTGTCTAGATCATCTGAATGCGACCATCTTACGTACATGTAATCGTATGGCTAGATTCAGCTTTCATGGTGGAACAGCTGGTGTGCTCCACTGGCCGACTGTTCTGGCATCTACATTGCTACAGCTTTGAGACTATTCAAAGTATTCACTTGCATATGGCTATTTCAAATGGAATTGATAGGGAGTGACGTACACGCCGGTCGCAAACATGCAGAAGAAGTCTTAAATGTAATTCTTCTTCTTCTTCCTCTTTCGTTCGCTTGAAATAGATTACATATATCTGCAATATTGTCTCTAGTATGAACTTCAGTAGCTATTGTAATTCACTCAGGGACCCGTCAAGTTTGACTTGCACCGATGTTTTAATTGGCCAAAATTTTACCTTGATATGTTGTATTTGGGACAGTCATGTAACTAGTGACGGATCGACCGTCAAGAGATTTTAATATACAAGATGGCGAGTTTAGTGCGAAGGTATACTAACTGTGCAAATTTTTAAAAAAAATTTGTTGATGCCATTGAAAACGTTTGTGAACCCACAAATCATATCGAAACAAGAGGAATTGCACAAACGATTTTGCCAGCAGTGTGTAATTTTTTCTTCTTCAAATACCCGTTGTATTTCTCGAGGAATATCTTAGAAAAGATACACCACATGAAAAAAAACAAAATAACTGCAGATCGTTAGAATCAGGTTCAGGAGTGAATTATTTAATGAGACGACTGAAGATCCCTTTGAAAAAAAAACAATCAGATGGAAGAGACAGCACTGCAGTTCGTAACGAACGCACTTAGTGAAAAGAAGAACTACCATAAAGAAGAAAACGATGTCTGGGAGAATAAAAACAGACGATGAAATAGCCAGGTTAAAAAGATAATTGAAAAGTTCAAGCCAGCCAGTTTAAATTGAGAATTGAAATGATCAAACCAGCCAGGTTGAATGAAGAATTGAAAAGATCAAACCAGCCAGGTTGAATGAAGAATTGAAAAGAACACACCAGCAGGGTGAATGAAGAAATGAAAAGATAAAACTAGCCGGTTGAACAAA